GAGGAAAGGAGAGGGAGAGAGAGAGAGAAACATCAATGATGAGAGAGTCATTGATCAGCTGCAGCCCGCAACCTGCAACCCGGGCATGTGCCCTGACTGGGAATCGAACCCCGATCACCTGGATCCTAGTTTGACGCTCTACTGCTGAGCCACGCCCGGCTGGGTGGTTGATTCTTATATATGCCCTGATCAGGGATCTAACCAACAACCTTGGTGTATCTGGACAATGCTCTAACCAACTGAACTACCCAGCTAGGGCTAGCCAGGGATCATTTAAGGAAAGGCACATAATGCCATGCTAAGGAGTTTGGACCTTTATTTTGAAGAAAGGGGAGGGAATGCGGAGAGATCCAGTAGAGAAATAACATGATTTGCTTTTTAGAAAGTCTATACCAGAAATACAGAAAGTAAATCAAAAGAAGAAAAAAGTAGAGACAAGGAGATCAGTCGGAAGGCTCTTACTGAAAACCAGGAGAGAAATGATAAGGGCTAACTTAAGCAGTAAGGATGGAGAGAGATGTATTTTGGAAAACACATAGAATTAGGCTCCACAGGACTGGGCCACAGTGTGTATGGAGAGGTTGGGAGCAAAGAGGTAACAAAAATGGAAGGTAGGGCCTGGCCAGGCGCGGCTCAGCCGTTGAGCATCCACCTAGGATCCAGGCAATCAGGGTTCAATTCCCGGTCAGGGCACATGCCCGGGTTGCGGGCTCCATCCCCAGTCGGGGGAGGCAGCTGATCAATGACTCTTTCATCACTGATGTTTTTCTCTCTCTCTCCCTCTCCTTTCCTCTCTCTGAAATCAATAAAGAAGATATATTAAAAAAAAAAAAAAAAAAAAAGGAAGTTAGGGAATTCTGGAGGAAGGGTAGGCTGAAGATGCCCCCTAGAAATACAGATTTAGTAGTCACAGCCTCATAATTGGAGTACATGGTTTCTTAGAATAAAGTTCAGCAAATAATGAGACCTCTGGTGTACTTCTTAGTGAGAGGCAAATAGGCATCAGAATATATAAAAATTCCTTCCCTCTTGGAGCTGTATTCTAGCAGAGGGTGGGGATGGAGGGACATGGCAATATAAACTTAGTAAAATGTGTATATATAGTACATTAAATAGAGAAAGAAGTTCTTTGGAGACAGCTTAAGCAGAGAAGTGGGATAAGGCATCAGAATCACTTTTAGAGGGCTGCTTAAAACAGATTACTGTTCCCACACACGCAGTTTCTGATTCAGTAAATTGGGGGTGGGATTACTGAGTGTGTCATTTTTATAGGTTTCTATGTGATGCCAGTGTTGCTGGTCTTGAAAAATCATATTTTGAAAATCATTAGGATAGAGAGTTGCTGAAGGGGAATAATGTTGCAATTTTAAAGAAATGGTTAAAATGGGTTTCAGTTGAGATGGTGACGTGAGCGAAGACTTAAAGTGAGGGGGTGGGTTTTTGTGAATATCTGGAGGAACAGCTGCCTATACAAGAGCCCTGAGATAGAAGCATGTCTGGCATGTTTAAAGACAGCAAGGAGACCAGTGCAACCGTAGCAGAGTGAGTGGAGAAGAGTAGTAGGTTGAGGTCCAAGAAGTACATGGGTCTGGATTGTATAGGTCTTTGTAGGTCATCCAGAGGATTTGGGCAGTCTTCACCACAGGGATAGTATTTAAAGCCTTAAGACTGGATGAACTTGTCAAAGGAAGAGCAAAGCAATTGCATGAGTCCAAGTATAGGATGGGGTCATCAACTTAAACACACTGAGAACTAGAAAGCCTGGATAACTCTTAAGAGATATTTTGAAGCAAGGAACAATAGAACTTAGTGACAGCACAAAGTGAATGACTGACAGAAAAAGTCAAAGGTGATACCAAGTTTTGTTTTTGTTTTTAGAGAATTTTATGAGTTTATTTGAGCCAAAACTGAGGACAGTCGCCATGAGCAAGATCTCAAATGTTCCTCATACCAACTTTTCTAACTGAGAAGAGGAAATGTTAAAAATGTAAAAAAAAAAAAAAGGCGGGGGGGAGCAATTAGGAAGAGGCTTCGGCATTTCTGAAAATAATAAGCAACAGTTCCCTATTTATCTTACTGCCTTATGAAAATGATTAGTACTAAGAAAATTCACTTTTTCTTGTAATGTTTCAATGAAGAAAGTATAAATGTTTACATTAATTTTTTTTAGCCAACATTTTAAAACAATTTTGAATACCAACATTCTGGCATTCTGAAAGTATTCAAAGCAATTATCTTTTAAAATAGGAAAACGGACGCTGTATTACTAAGCTGGAAAACATGGGGTTTCGAGTGGGACAAGGATTGATAGAAAGGTGAGCAGTCTGGATTTGAAAATTTTCTTCCAGGTAGGTTATGAACAAAGATGATCTGTTTGAAAAGATTGCATAAAATTTAGATACTTTAATTTTAATTTTTCTCTGTTCTTTAATTCACAAATTGAAATTTCTTTTTAGGTCTTAATGTTATTTTAACTCAGTTCAACTTTTATGTTTTAATATTTGAAGAAAATATATATTTTATATATTTTAGACTTGTTTTCCTTGAAAACTTTGGTGTACTGAAACCTCTATCTAAAATCTTGTTGCATTTCCTACTTAAGGCCCATAGGGTGTTTTTTTTAACCTAAATGTAATTTTGTTTAAATGAATAGGGATGGAAATGCCTTAGAGTATATGTTTATGCATGCAATCATCTTCCAATGTATAGAACAATTTTTTTTTTTTTATTCCTTCCTCACTATGTGAATAGTTGAACTTTGTTTTATATAACAATACCATGATCATCCTCAGCTTTTTTTGATGTGCTAGAATGAATTATACCTAAAACTGCAACTTACTATTAGACTCTACTGTTAGACCAATTTTAGTCCCATAATTGAATTAAAGAATGTGAATCCATTGAGATGGGGTCTACTTTTCTTGATGCTTATCACTTATGACTGTCAATGTTCAGTTGGAAATTAGTTAACAATTTGCCCCTCCTACGTTCTTTGGAGGAAAAATACTATATTACTTCTAGTTGATCTTTTTAGGTTTACAAAAGATACTGCAAGGTTCAAGGATGAATTAGATATCATGAAGTTCATTTGTAAAGATTTCTGGACTACGGTATTCAAGAAACAAATCGACAATCTCAGGACAAATCATCAGGTATTTCGATAAAGCCTATTTTTAAGTCCTTTAACTTAATATAAATATCCTATTTTAGTGATTTACTTATTTAAAATTTAAAATAATTTCTAGTCAACTTTAGAATGTTTCTCTTACATGTATTTAATAAGTTATATTCTCTAATAGGATATAGTGAATAAAGACAAAGGGATAGCAGTTTCTTTCCCCCAGTTAAATAAGTTATTTTAAGATTTAAAAAGTAGCAATGTCAGAATGATAAAGGTTTTAGGATTGGGTTCCTTAGTTATTATTACTTAGTGGTAATATGAAGCAGAACTACAAATATATCACATTTATGTTTTTAGAGTAATTTCTGAAGTCTAATTTATAGAGCATATTTAACTCTTAAATATGTCTTTATTATTTAGTTGCTGTCATATTTTCTATTAAAATATTTTGTTAATATAAAAATTAATAGACTGCATGGAAAATGGTGCATTTAAAATCCACTTGAGGAAGTATTTAGAGTGGATCTGACCTTTTGATTAAGTATAAAAAATGAAAAGAATACCTAGTAGCTATCCATAGTATTTATTTTTTCATATAACAATATCAACCTGAGTATGGAAGTACTTGAAATACTATGGGAAAAAGTGATTGATTATTGCCTTCATAGATATGAGTTAATAATGTGTAGCTGCTAATTTCATCTGGACAAGTAGATTTCTGATTCTTTTGCACTAGGCTGTGAGTTAAGGATAGAGACTGTCTTACGCATCTTTGAATCTTCAGTATCTAAAAGCATTCAGCAAACGTTAGTCTTATAAAACGCTGAACAACTCTGCCTGGCCAGTGTGGCTAAGTGATCTCCATGAACCAGGAGATCACCATTCAGTTTCCAGTCAGAGCACCTGCCCAGGATTTGGGCTTGATCCCCAGTAGGGGGCGTGCAGGAGGCAGCCAATCAATGACTCTCATTGATGTTTCTATCACTCTCTCTCCTTTCCTCTCTCTGAAATCAATAAAAACATATTTAAAAAAATAAAATACTGAACAACTCTTGAGCTTGAACATTGCAAAACTCCTTCACTTAAAGTAAATTNTCTTTCCTCTCTCTGAAATCAGTAAAAACATATTTAAAAAAATAAAATACTGAACAACTCTTGAGCTTGAACATTGCAAAACTCCTTCACTTAAAGTAAATTTGAGGCCCTGGCTGGGTAGTTCAGTTGGTTAGAACGTCATCCCTACACACCAAGGTTGCAGGTTCAATTTGGAGTCAGGGCACATACAAAAACCAACTAATGAATGCATAAATAAGTGGAATAACAAATCTCTCTCTCAAATCTCTCTGTCTCTCAATCAACAAAGAAAGAAAAAAATTTTACCAATAGAAAGGAGTTTTAATAACTTAGAAAATTATTTAATAACTTAAATAATTTTGAAGTAATTTTTAAGGACTGCCAACTACACTGACTTTGGATGTGTTTTCTGTTTTTGGAACAGGGCATCTATGTACTTCAGGACAACAAATTCCGTCTGCTTACTCAGATGTCTGCAGGAAAACAGTACTTAGAACATGCATCTAAGGTATTTAATGGAATAGAAGTTTGAGGTTTTTTATTATGAAAAGAGTAGAACCATAGGGAAACGTACAGTGCCAATCACAACAGACTTTGGAATTTAAAGTAGGTTTTACCATATTACTTTTTTGTTTAAACACTTTTCTTTGAAATAGAAGACAGGTGTTCATCATATTAAAATAATTTATATTAAATTGTAGCAAAGTATGCTTATAATGACCAATTAAAGAAACACTATAACTGAATGCCAATGGAATGGATATTATTGGTAGATTTTTTAATATAGCACAGATATGTCAGAAAAGATACTCAAGCTTATTAGCTGTGCAAAATTGACCTCAGAGTTTATATTTACAATCTCCTTTAATAGATTAAATAAATTGTCTTAAACATAGTTAACAGTGTTTCTAAGAATACATGTTTTTTGTTAAGTATATCTGTTTCTGGGTTTTGTGTAGTTTTTGTTTTTCAGTCTCACGTAGGGATCAATTAATAAGCAGATATATATATTAAAGAAAGATGATAGGTTTTAGTGTAAGGGTTCCTGTGAAGTGATTAAAATATCTGGGACTGTCTAAGTTGCTATTTATCTGTAAAAATTTGTCCATACTTAAATCATCTAACACAAAGGCAGTATAGGTATAGTGGAAAGAACATGGACTTGAGACCAACTAAATCTAGATTTAAGCTAAGCGCCACAACTTACAGGTTTGTGACATTGGGTAAGTTACATAACCCCTCTCAACCTTAGTTTCCTCATTAATAAAACTGGTTATAATAATTTATATATTATAAAGTCTCTAAGCTTTCTTCCAGTTCAGAATTTCATGACTCTTAATTGCTTTTATCAGTACTCATTTATGTTTATTATAAAATAATATTCTATATTATTCATATATGTATAGTATTGTTGAATAGCATACAATGCAGAAATGTAAATAATAAAAAATTCCTTAGATTATTACTTTTTTAGTTCCCATTCTTGCCCTGGCTTTCTCTGCTGTAGCTCAGTCCCTTGTTTCTATATGACAAGGTTTCTCAATGTAGACACTAATATTTTGAACTGGATAATATTTTGTTGAGAACAAATCAAGATTTTTGGTTGTAGAAAGCAGAAACCAACTCTGATTGACTGGAATAACATAAGCTCACAGAATTGATGGAAAGGCTCACAAAACAGGCAAGAATCATGGGAAGTTTAAAGCAGCCAGAAAGACAGCCCCCAATCATTCCACTGGGAGGGTCTGATTAGAATTCTTCAGGCAGAACTGACATTAGACACAAGCCACCTTTGTTGCCTCTAGGACTAATTCTAACCTGTTTCCAGCTTGATTTTGTCACTCATTCCAGATTCAGAGTCCTGGACTGGAACACATAATTTGCAGAGCTTGTCACGTGTCATGACTTAGTTGCAAAGAGCTGGGAAATCTTCTAACAATCCAAATTTTCAGTAATTTGAAAAGTTCTTCCACAACACCTTCTTAAAACAGAAATAACTTAATAATAGTAAGACTTAACTAAATGTCATACTTATCCATAGATTTTTCTTAGAAAATCCTTAATATTCTTTACACTTCTTGTTCCTTTTAGTATTTAGCATTTACATGTGGCTTAATCAGAGGTGGCTTATCAAACTTGGGGATAAAAAGTATTGTAACAGCTGAAGTGTCTTCAATGCCTGCATGTAAGTTGAAATCACATTTTTTACAAATTTTTTAGTTACTGTTTTTCAGGGCTGGTGGTTTTTTGTTTATTTTATTTTTGTTTTTGTTAATTTGGAGAAAATTTAAAATGCTAAAACCGTTTATTTTACTTCGACCAATTTTAACATTTAATGTAGTAATATGTAGCATACTTACATTCAGATTCCGTGATTTTTGAATTCATAATGGACATTGATTTAAGAAAATGTGCTAAAGAAATCCAAGTTTATTAGACAACTTAAGGGGTGATTGTTAACTTATATATATATATATGTTTTTATTGATTTGACAGAGAGGAAGGGAGAGGGGGAGAGAAGGATCCATGAGAGAAATATTAATTGGCTGCCTCCTGCACCCCCCCATTGGGGATCAAGCCTGCAACCCCGGCACGTGCCCTGATCAGGAATAGAACTGGCAGCCTCTCGTTGCCTGGGAAGAAGCTCAACCAACTTAGCACACCAGCCAGGGCAATTCTTAACTTTTAAAGGAAAATTTTCTGTTGTATTCTTTTCAGATAGAAAATTTTCCTATAGCATTGAAAAACATTTTTAAAGTTTTCTAGACTATATTTATTATATACAGCTAAATAAAACCAACTGGTCTTTTTTTTTTTTTTAAATATCTTTATTGATTTCAGAGAGAGGGAGGGAGAGAGAGAGTTGAAACATCAGTGATGAGAGAGTCATCATTGATTGGCTGCCTCCTGCATGCCCTCAGCTGGGGATCGAGCCTGCAACCTGGGCATGTGCCCTGACCTGGAATAGAACGGTGATCTCCTGGATCCTAGATCTATGCTCAACCACTGAGCCACGCCTGGCCGGGCTGGTCTTTTTTTTTGAGATTTTTTTTTTAGGTTTTTTTTTTTTATTTTATTGTTGAAAGTATTACAGATGTTCCCCTTCCCCTCTCCCCCCATCTGACTAGTCTTTTATCACTAAACTCCTTTCCAGAGATCTTTTCACTAAGAGATACCAACCAAGAATAAAATTGACTTGAGCTTCCATGTATTTCTTTTCTGTTTATAATGATAATTAACAGTGAAATACCCAAAATGTACAAATTACAAAGAGAAACAAAGGCACTTATTCATCAGTCAGTTAATCATCTCATAAAAATGGAATTAACTTTATTGAATATTGTGAAAAATGTGGAAAGTCTGACATAGCAAATTTCTTGATTAAAACTATTTTCTAAGTAGAGCAGAAAACTGACATTTAGACTTGCTTTCCTTGTTCCTAAAATCAAAAGGATTTTTCGTGTTTTCTTTTTTAGGTAAATTTCAGGTGATGATACAGAAGTTGTAGAACATACTGAAATGCAAGACTGCCGCAGTGTAAAGAGTTAAATTATTCATGTATAAAGTATTTCAAGTAGCAATGACTTAATTACATTGTTGGACATTTGTGTTGATATAAGCTATGTGCTAACTTGTATAATAATGAAAGATGTACTCTTAAGCAGGACTGAGGTTGTATTTTATCAATTTAACATAGACCAAATTAAAGCAGATAGAGACATTCTACTGTAACATGCACTTTACTGAAACTATTCGGAATGAAAAAAAATCCTGATTTCAAATAAACACCAAGGATCCTTGTTTTAACATTTCTACTTGCTTAGTGATATATATTTAACCACAGATGGAGAAGCAAAACTCAGGGTTTGAAAAATTAGCATAAAGAAAATATGCACCAGCCAGAATCATTTGTGTAACAATGAACAAATTTTGATTGCTTTATGAATTTGTTTTGGTTATTAAAAAAAACAAACAGCATACTAAATTAGACTTAATTTTTATTTTATTGCTTATAATTTACTTCTATTAAGAATTTTTATGCCTGTATAAGGATTTCATTATATACAGTATATATGTGTGTGAGATATGTCATATCAGACTGCCTAAATTTGCTCAAAAACATAATTTCACTTTAATAGAATTCAGTCCTGGAGAGATCCATTAATGTAATAAAAGTGAAATATAGATTAGTTTAAATGTGAATTCATTGACTCCAGGACCAAAGAATATTAGGTGTATTAGGAAGGAATTTTTATACTTCTGTTACAGTTTCAACTTTCAGTTTTTCTCTCCTTGCACGGAAGTGCTGGTGAGGTGTCTTGCCTCTTTATCTTTTTTTTTTTTTTTAAGGCAGACCACTCTAGATTGGTAGGTGGCAGTTTTTTATTTTATTTATTTACTTTTAAATATGTTTTTATTGATTTCTGAGAGAGGAAGACAGAGATAGAAACATCAATGACGAGAGTCATTAATTGGCTGTCTCCTGCATGCCCCCTACTGGGGATTGAGAGCACAACCCGGGCATGTGCCCTAATCAGGAATTGAACCGTGACCTCCTGATTCATAGGTCAATGCTCAACCACGAAGCCACGCCAGCAGGGCTTATTTTATTTATTGATTTTAGAGAGAAATATCGATTTGCTGTTCCTCTTATTTATGCACCCATTGGTTGATTCTTTTTTTAAATCTTTTATTATTATTATTATTATTTTTTAAATTTATCTTTATTGTTTCAAGTATTACAGGTGTCCCATTTTTCCCCCCCAAATGACCCCTTCCCTCAAATGACCCCTTCCACCTCACTCCCACCCCCTCCCAGGCCTTCACCGTTATTGCCTGTGTCCATGGGTTATACATATATGTATATAACTTCTTTGGTTAATCTCTTCCCAACCTCCACCCTCCTTCCCTCTTTCCTCTGAACTATGATCATCTGTTGCATGTGTCAATGTCTCCGGATCTATTTAGTTTGTCAGATTCTCTTGTTCATTAGCTGCTTCTTAAAGAAGACCCTTCAACATTTCCTGTAATGCTGGTCTGGTGGTGATGAACTCCTTTAGCTTTTCCTTGTCTGAGAAGCTCTTTATCTACCTTCAGTTCTAAATGATAGCTTTGCTGGGTAGAGCAATCTTGGTTGTAGTTCCATGTTTCTTATCAGTTTGAATATTTCTGCCACTCTCTCTGGCCTGCAAAGTTTCTGTTGAGAAATCAGCTGACAGTCATATGGGTGCTCCCTTGTAGGTAACTAACTGCTTTTCTCTTGCTGCTTTTAAGATTCTTTCTTTGTCCTTAACCTTTGGCATTTTAATTATGATGTATCTTGGTGTGGGCCTCTTTGGGTTCCTCTTGTTTGGGACCCTCTGTGCTTCCTGGGCTTGTAAGTCTATTTCTTTCACAGGTAGGGGAAGTTTTCTGTAATTATTTTTTCAAATAGGTTTTCAATTTCTCGCTCTCTTTCTTCTCCTTCTGGACCCCAGTAATACGAATGTTGGGCCTCTTGAAGTTGTCCCAGAGGCTTCTTATACCATCTCAATATTTTTGGATTCTTTTCTCTTATTGCTCTTCTGGTTGGGTGTTTTTTGTTTCCTCATATTCCAAATTGCTGATTGATTCTCAGCATCCCCTACTCTACTGTTGATTCCCTGTAAATTATTCTTCATTTCAGGTCATGTAGCCTTCATTTCAAATTGGTACTTTATGATGTCATCGATTTTCTCAGTTACTTTCGTAAAAGTCTTACTAATATGGCTGAGCATCCTTATAAACAAAATTCTGAACTCTGTATATGTTAGCTTGCTTGGATCTATTTATTTAGTTCCTCTTCCAGAGATTTCTTCTGTTCTTTCTTTTGTGACATGTTTCTTTGCCTCCACATTTTGGCTGTTTCCAGGTGTTCGTTTCTATGTATTAGGTAGAGCTGCTATGTCTCCTGGAATTTGTAGAGTGGCTTTGTGTAGTAGGTGTCCTGACGGATCCAGTGGCTCAGCCTCCCCAATCACCTGAGCTAGGCCTTCTAGGTGCTCCCATGTGGGCTGTGTGTGCACTGTCTGTTGTAATACTGTTGTGGTTGCTGTTGGCGTCACTGGGAGGAATTGACCCCCAGACCAATCAGCTGTGAGGACCAGCTGCAACTTTAGCCAAAGAGCTGATGTGCTGGAGACACCTCTGTGGAGCAGGATTTATTTCAGTGGAGCTTTGGTGTTCACCAAGTGCACCCCTTGAGTGTGTCACTTGTGGATGTGGTAGGGTTGTAATCAACCACTACAGTCTGACCACTGGGTGCACTGTCTCTGGGGCCTCCTTGGATGTGCAAAGTCAGCCTCTGCCAGTGCCTTGCCCAGGGCCACCCAGCATGAGCTACACAGCAAACTGTAGTTGGCTGCTACTTGTGCTGGGCTTAGCATTGTCCAGGAGCAGCCAAGCTATGAGCCAATGCAGGCTGCCGCTAGTGCCAGGCCTGGGGCCCCTTATCAAGCCGTATGGGGAACACTGCTGCTTGTTTGAGAGATTTTAGGAAAGTCCTAAGCATGAGGCTCGAGAGGCCACTTGCACAGAAAAGCCACTGGAAATGCCTTGGATGAGCTTGCAAGTTGGGGGGGTCAGAGTCTCCGTGAATCACCTGGGCAGGGCCAAAGGTGTGAGTCAGTTGCTGGAGGTTCAAATATGGCGCCTGCCTGCCGGCTCTGTGCGGGGAGGACTCGCCAAAGGAGCAGTGGCCTCTGCCAGCCCTTCTGTCTGGGAGGAAGCAGCCCCTCCACCTCTCACCCGTTTCAGGCAGGTTAGTCCCTCCCCAAGTATCCCAGGTTCCTTTCAAGCTGCTGCCCAGCGCTTGGGCTCAGAGGGAGCGCATCGGAGTGAGTCCGTGCGCGGGCCCTTTAAGCAGAAAGCCTGAGACTCCTACACCCTCTGGGACCCTCAGCAACAGTCCCCGCTGGTTTTCACAGCCCGAAGTTGTGGGGATTTCTCTCCCCGGCCCTGGAGCCCTGGGCTGGGGACCTGCTGTGGGGCTGGGACCCCTCACTCCTCTGCGAAACCTCCTGGGTTTAAACTGCGGCACCGGTTTGGGCCCGAGGCTGCATCTCCGCAATTCAGCCCCAGTCCACCCGCCTCTTCGCCCCTCCTACTGGTCTTGATGCTTCTTCAGTTCCCCAGTTGTGGGGCTTCTGTTCAGCCAGATTTCAGGAGGCTCTGAGTGCTGGTGGTTCTGTATTTTAGTTGTAATTCTGATGTGGTTGTGGGAGGCGGCGGGTGCAGCTGTTAACCTCCGCCACCATCTTGTTTACTCTGGTTGATTCTTGTATGTTCCTTGACCCAGGACCGATCCCAAAACCTTGGCGTTTTGGGATAACACTAACCAACTGAGCTACCCAGCCAGGGTCTATAAGACATTTTTCTCTCTGTCCCAGAGAGTAGATTTGATAACCTGAGTGAATTTTAATATGTCAGGTTCTAACTGGTTTATTCTGCTAAGAGACACAGATGAAATCTTATTTTTTTAAAATTAATAGAAATGAATAAAATTTTAGTAAAAGTACATCACAATTTAGTAAATGTATAATATCCTCCTGACCAAAAGAAACAATGTATCTTTTATGTGAATAAAAAAATACACGGTACAATCTAATTTACTTTGTCACTGTCCCACAGACCTAATTAAACTACCATTTAGTAGCTATTTTTTTCAAAATAACTATTTCTAAATTATACATATATTTAAAATATATCTTTATTGATTTCAGAGAGAGGAGAGGAGAGGGAGAGAGAGAGAGATAGAAACATCAATGATGAGAGAGTCACTGATAGGCTGCCTCCTATATGCCCCCGGCTGGGGATGGAGCCCGCAACCCGGGCATGTGCCCTGACTGGGAATCGAACCCTGATCGCCTGGATCCTGGGTTGATGCTCAACCGCTGAGCCACGCCCCGCCAGGCTCTAAAGTATATCTTTAAAATGTATAATTTCTCAACAAACGTAAGGCTTTCTACTTCTGTTAAGAGTTGGGGAACTTTTTCTCTTCAATTGTTCATTAAAGTCAGAAGATACTTTTAATTGTGAATGCCTGGCTATAGTGGTAGTCTGTGCACACTTTATTTTTATTATATTAGTGGCTTAAAATGTTATTACTTTTATTTGTCTCTACATTCCTGAAAAAAATCCTTATGCCAAGCTGAGTCATTAAAAAAATGGGTTCTCAGTTACCTATATGAGAATCCTCCAGCTTGCTAAAAAATAGACGTGTAACTTCATTAAAATCATATCTTATACCACTGGTCTTCAGCCCATGCAAACTTGCCTTCTTTTTTATGCTATCTAGTCCTCAGAAATTTTATTCTGTGTGAGTAGTGTGCATAACTACATGTTCAGCCACTAGTTATGGAAGAAATGTAAATTAAAACAATAATTGACACATTACCTCTCTCAAATCAACCCCCAGGAAGCTCCCCTCCAGCCTCAAATTAACAAAAAATGTGAAGCTATAACAGCTGGTTGTAGTAGAGGTTGGAAGTCTAAACTCTTTATAGTAGACACTGCTGGCTGCCTATCCAGTATCCACTCTCCCTTCTTTTCTAACAGAACCCCACTTTTGATAGGAGTGGCAATGTGCTGAGCTAAAAAATTTCTATTTCTGCCTGGCCAGTGTGGCTCAGTGGTTGAGCACTGACCTATGATTCAGGAGATCTTGGTTCGATTCCTGGTTGGGGCACATGCCCAGGTTGTGGGCTTGATCCCCAGTGGGGGGTGTGACTCTCTCATCATTGATGTTTCTATCGCTCCTTCCTTCCTCTCTCTGAAATCAATAAAGATATATATATATTTTTAAAAAGTCAAAAAATTATATTTCCAACTTTCTTTATAATTAGAAAATGTCATAACTCTAGCAAATAATACATAAATTGAGGGTTTCTTATAATGCGTTCTCCTTTGACATAGACAACAAGAAGGAATGGTGCTTTTTTATCCTTCCTGGAATATAGATGTGAGGCA